GGTTTAGGAGACTCCAACAGAGGACATTCTGGGACCGGGCAGACTTGCGGGAACAGGGCGCTGCAGTGACTTCAGCCATGTAGCCCCCTCTCAAGTGGGATTGGTGAGCAGTGCCTAGCCTATGTGACACTGCTGGCTGAGACGCAGTAGGCTAGCACAACCCAGATCCCAGCTCCTGAAGGTGACCTGGAAGGGCGGGCCCCACATAGGCTGCCTGGTCTACAACTTCCTGGTGCGCTGCAGTGGGCAGGAACACCTAGCTGGCACAATTCAATCAGACCGTGGCTGACAGGGAAGGAAGCTGGGCCTCCTATATACGCTTGCATATATAAGGAACAAAGAATATGGGAAAAGGCAGCAACAAGAAATGTTCCTCGGCCCCCAATCCTGAGATAGAGGCAATAGCAGACACAACACCAATAGATATAAAGCACTATCTCCAGAGCCTCATAGACAAGTTCAGGAATGAAGTTATTAATGACCTGAAGCTAGACATAAGCAGAATAGTTAGAGAAATGCTAAGCACCACCCAAGAAAAAACAGATGGTAGAATGGAAGAACAAAAAAAAGGGGGAGAATTGTTTAATGGAGAAAATAGAGAAAGCATAGAATATGTGAAGCAGGTTCAAAGAGATTACCAGGAAACTAAAAACTCTATCGAAAATTAGCATAACAGCTTGAAAGAAACTAAGGACAGATTATCTGAACTGGAGGGCAGATTTGTAATATGAGAGAATGAAATGAAAAACTTCTTAAGAATAACAAAGAAACAAACATCAATAATACAAAGACTAGAAAATGATAAGAGGATCCATAACTTAAGAATTAAGAACATAAAAGAAGAAGTAGGGACACAAACAAATGAACTACAAAAGCTACTCGCAGAAATAATCCAGGAGAATGTTCCTAATTTGGCAAAAGGTAAAGATACTCAGTTGTATGAAGTATACAGGACCCCAGCCACCTACAACCCAAACAGAGCAACACCCAGGCATATAATAATTAAAAGTCCAGAAATCCAATACAAGAACAGAATATTAAAAGCCATCAGAGACAAGAAACAGATCGCTTACAAGGGAACACCCATCAGAATTACAGCAGATTTCTCGGCACAAACCATCAAATCACGAACAGCGTGGGGGGAAATAATTCAAGCTTTAAAAGATAATAATCTCCAGCCAAGATTGAAATATCCTGCACAACTATCCCTGGAAATTGATGGAAAAACAAGGTGCTTCCAGGATAAAGAGGAACTAGGAGAATATGCAACCACCAATTCAACTCTACAGAGAATACTGCAGGATATTCTAAAAAAAGAAAAATACGAAGAATCCAGAAATAGTGGCAGAGAGGCCACAATCAATGAATGGAGCAGAAAACAAAATGAAGAAGACAAACTGACAACTAATGACAGAAAAAGAGCTCAACAAAAATGAGGCAGAGAAGATTGGATGATAGGAACAACTATTTTGGAGAAAATGACGTCTTAAGAGGTAATACTGATTTAGTATCATCTTGTTTTGAAGTCTCATCAAGCTTTTGTTCTTCTATCTCCATTGGTCTAAACAGGTTGTATCTTATTGGATTTTATTATATATGATAGCATAAGCAAAAACTTTTATAGACAAGGAGATTATACAGAAACCATTGTTCATTTTCTTAGTTGATTCTAAATACCCTGTAATACTGTCATTTCTTAAATGGTTTTACATTGTTTTGATATATTTGATGCTACAGTATACGAAGTTATCCTCAAAGATTTCAAGGAAAGAGACAATATGGTAACTACTTTTATGTCGGGATTATCTTGTGGTGAAACACTATTTTGCTTAAATGGTTATGTTCTGATCTGCACTGTTTTGCTGTTATGCCCTCTTTTATCTCAATCTCCACTTTATTATTTACTTTTTTATTTTTATGCTTTTAATTAAGGGAAAAATAAGTAAAAAAAATAGCAGGATATATTATAGTAACCCACTTTGACTTTCCATTATCTTGATTTAAAGCCTTGTATTGCTCTCACCATCTTGTTTTGACTGATGTCACTCTATTCTGTTTTGCTTGATAGTACCAGGTTCAAAAGTTTAGGCAACAGCTGTGAAGATAGTGGGATTCATTATGACGTCCATTCTGGTTGACTATTAGCTACTTTTGAAGACCTATAATGTTTCCAATGTCTTAGTTCTGTCAGTTTTGTTCTTTACTGTTTTGTTCAATTTTATTATAACGGATGATAGAGGCAATTCTATTAGAGATAGTGGGAGGCATTATGGTAACCATTGTTGATCACCTTGTATTATGCTTTTACATTATCTATTATGTCCACCATTTTGATTTGACTGACTCTGTTCTGTTATGTCACATTTGGTTCTACTCTCTTCCAATAAAGTAATAAGAACTGTGGGAGCAACAAAACCCAAAGTGTGTAATTGTCATTGTACAAAAGAGAGGAAAAGAAAGTGCTCTAAACGATATAACTGCATGTATATTTAAGTGTATAAGATAGATAATGATATCACTGAGTTTTGTTGGATTATTGAACAGAACTGTTTGCAGTCTCACTGTTGGAATGTCCACTTTGTAAGCTTTAATTTTGTAACTTGAACAGTTATTTCTAAGATGACAATATGTAATCCATTAGCTAGTGATTTCCTACTGTTTATTTTTTCCTGTAAATCTGTAAAACTTGTACCCTTTCTCTGCTTTTTTTTCTCCTTAAATAAAATTTTAAAAAATCCAATTATTAAAATAGAAATGCTAAATCTATTGGAAGATAGAGCAGGTAGAACTCTTAAAGTCATAGTATAAGCAAAGACTTTATAACCAAAACCCCAAATGCACAGGAACTGTAGGGAACCATCTGGTGACTCTTCTAAAAAGAGCAATTATCTCTATTTTGGAGGAGATAAAACTTGGCCTTATCTTAATGTACTGATATATACAGAGATGGCCAGGCCATTTCTTTATCCCTTCAATTAGCTTTAAGCAATGTAAACTGGGCTGGTTGAGGAGCTGATGTATAATCTTTGAGGCAAGGTGACAGTCGGCTGTTACCCAGCCCAGTGATTCCCGGAAAACGTGGTTGGGCCAGACAGGATGAAGATCCACCATGCCACACTGTTGGTTGGAAGGGAGCTTAGAGATAAGAGACTATGACTTCCCAGGGCAGAAAAGATTGCACTTCAGAGCTGAATCACTGACCCTGAAACATTAGTTACATCCTCAGTTGTGTTGTGCAGATCACTCTCTCTGCATATCTTTTCCTCTGTGTATTGCAGAGCCTCCTACCTATCCCACCTCACACACTGGCACTTATATTTTTCTCACCACCCTCACTGTCACCCATCCAGGAGCCCCTCCTCTCATGGAGAATTAGTAAAACTTGCATTGGGCCCTGGATTGTGGTCTTTGTTCTGGTGAGCCACCATCTTGGCTGGACTTAGGACCCCTTGGCTCCCCACAACTATAAATATGTCTTAGTGTATTTATTCTTACCTTGGGTTGCACTGGAAGTGATCGATTGGAATTAATTTCCAATAACATTCCACGGGATTACAAATATAAACTTCCCAGACCCAGACAATATTCAGGAAAGGGCTTGAAATAGGAACTATTGCAAAAGATCAGAAAATGGGATGTCATCTCATTAAACATTTTTTCATGGCAACAGAAGTTACCAACAGAGTAAAGAGACAACTCATGATGTGGGGAAAAAATTTTTTCCTGTTGTTCCTCAAACAAAGGACTACTATCTAGAATACACAAAAACTAAAAAAAAAAGACCCCCCCCAGATTTAATAAACCAATCTAAAAATGGGCATTTAAAATGAATAGACATTTTTCAGATGAAGTAGAAATGACAAATACATGAAAAAATATTCAACATCATTGACCATTTAAGAAATGAAAATTAAAACAAAGCTGAGATCCATCTCACCCCAGAAAGCATGGCTATCATAAAAATTCAACAATAACAAATACTAGCAGAGGTACGAGGAAAAAGGAGCTCTGATACACTGCTGGTGGAGTGTAGACTGGTGAGACCACTGTGGAGGTTCCTCAAAAATCTAGGACTAGAGATTCTATTCAATTCAGTTATTACTTTTCTTGGTGTCATCCCAAAAGAATTAAAAGCATTGTTCCACAGCAACTTATGCACACCTGTGTTTATAGCAGCAGTTTGTGATAGCTAAATCTTGGAAAGAGTCCAAATGCCCATCAAACTGATGAATGGAGGAAGAAGATGTGGGTTGTTCTTTTTGTTTGTTTGGTTTTGTTTTTTACAGTAAAGTACTGCTCTGCCATTTAGGATAAGCTTGTGACATTTCTAGCTAAATGGATGCACCTGAAGGCCACACTCTTGAGTGAAATAAAATGGACAAGTGTAAAAACCACATTGCTTGTCTGGTATGAAAAATAAGGACCAAAACGTTTGATATTGTGAAATAGGAAGAAAATGTTCAAATAGAAAGAAGAACTTGGGAAGTAGAGGCAGAAAGAAAGGAAGGGAAAAGAAAAACTGCTGAAAAAAGAAGGAAAATATGTACAAAGCTTTTGTAAACAAGGAGGGGAAGAGGTATTGAAGGGAGGAGAGGAGAATGGGAAAAAAGAATCAAGTTATATCACATCCAGGTACAAATCTCCTATGGTGAATGTGATCATCATTACACCTAAAATGGACCACTGAGCTTAATTAATTGTTTTAAAGTTTGATTAATTAAAATAAGTTTAATTAATTGAAAAAAGCATTTCGAATAAGAAAGTAACTGAACCACCAAGCTGGGGCAGGCAGTGGAGTGAAAAGGAAGTGTGAGGATTCTGTTGGCGTGTGGCGCCTGTAGGCCCAGGGTATGCTGCTCTTACAGGAGCCCAGGCACCCCACCACAGACAAGGCTTCTTGTAGGAAATGGAAGGCTTTGTGATGCAATTCAGGGTACAGTTCTGTCCTCTGTGAGGTGGACGTGGCAAGGCCTCCTGCGTGGCATCATTAGTCACTAGAACCCTGAGTGCCTACATATAGGGATGGCTGGTCTCGTGCTAACGTGGTTTGGATCATGATGATCCCTCCATTTGCTCCGTGGAATATTGGATACTCCTTATGTACCTATGGCTCCATCTTTATCATTATCCTCCTTATCTGGCAAGTGAAACGGAGTTACCATGGATTGAGATTTGAACCTCAAAGGAGCTGCCACAGGGTAGGGAAACACCATGACCACAACTAAATTAGTTTCAGCCTCAGATAAGCTTTTAAATGCTCACTGTTTCTCCCACCCAGCCCCGATTTTACACTGCACCTTCATTTACCCAGTACAGTATTCTAACTAAGCCAAGAAATTCTCCATTTGGTTTGCATTGAAAGCAAGATGACATAAAGGATAACTTAGAGATCTCAGAAGACCTCCCAGTACAGGGGATTTTTCTAGCTAGTGGACATTGTAAGGCACAGTCCTTGGGTTGATAGAAGCACACGTTCTTTAACCTGTTCCACTTTTTCACCTGTGTCATCCTAAGCTCCCTGCATACCTGGTGAGGATGGGATGTGACAGGAAGATAAAGAATAGAGAGCCTCAAAGTGAATCAGAAATAGGCATGGAAGGGAAATGCTGGGATGGAAAGTGGAATGCAGGTAAAGGAGATGCAGGAGATGTGTATATAATGCGGACACATACATAAAAAGGGAATAGGAAATATGTGTTAACTTTGTCTTATTTTGGATGTGAAAAAAATGACAGCCTAGCTTCACCTTCTGTTTTTTCTTTAAGTGTCACCGAAAAGTCAGGCAAAAGGCAAGAGATGCAGGATCAAGAGGTAAAGTGCCAATTCTCCTCTTACTCCCTTTCGTTGTAGTTGACCTTCCCATTGTTCATGTCCCTCTGGGACCCCAGTGCCAGGAGAACCAGGAGCAGGGAAAGCTCCAGTTCTCCAAATGGATGACTTTCATGAGGGGTTAGGTGGATGGCAAATCAGAATGTGGGAACATCTCAAAATTCTCTGCCATGTTCCCCTGAGATTAAAGAATTCAGGGAGTAAAGCAGGTGTCCCTAACTGTGTCATTTGCTAGTTTTATGACCCTTCAACTTTCAGTTTTATCCATAAAATAGCTATAACATTGACAATCCTCCTTCACATTGTAGTTATGAAGGTCAAATGAAAGCAGTAAAGAACATCACATGTCCATAACATGCCTTAAAGCACTGACTCTGTGTTTTCAGTCTTACTAGGGCAGGATCTTACTAGTTAGCTTACACAGGAAACCTGTAAAATGGCCCTATACTGTGTGACACACTGCCCTGGTTCTTTAAACAGCTGGAAGATGTTCCCAGAAAGAAACAGAGAAGCGGTGGGATCTGCTCTCCATCATGAAAAGGTGATCTCTTTCTCTTTGCAGTCTTGCAGGTCCCAGGCTGGACTGTGATAATTTCTTAGCCGAGACTGGCCTGGGCTGACCTAAGAAAAAGGAGGTAATAGCAGGGAGGGAAATGCACATTGTGGAAGGCTGAGTCACAGACTCAGAAAGATGCCAGAGCCAAAGGGGTTCAGACATCTCAGATAGCAACAGTGACTCAATTCTATGATTTGCTGGGGTCACAGTAGTTCTGCAACTCAGGATCTGGTTAATGCACAATTCAAAGAAAATGCTACTGGATTTCCACTCAGCCTTGATAAAGATTACCCAAGAGAATGGATTTTACATAAAAAGTCACCACTGTCTTATTCTCTGTAAGCTATGCTCTTGCAAGGGCGAATGCCCAGGTCCAGCTGCTCACATTCCTCATCTGGTCTATTTTGAAGGAGGTCAGATCCTGGGAAAACATTCATACAGAAGCCTATCATCTCTCCTTTAAATTTTTCCTTTTTTTTTTTTTTTTATCGGTACCAGGGATTGAACTCACGGCCACACACTTGTAAGGCAGGCACTTATGCCACTGAGCTAAATCCTCAGTCCCTTCTCCTTTAAATTTTAAACAGTAAGGCTGATTTCCAGCAGATTCTAGGTATAGCAGCAGAGAAATTCCATAGTTCTTACAATGCAAAGTTCAGTGTAAATCTAGGATTTACAGGACTTAGGGTGGGCAGTAACAACCCTCATAGCATACTCTTCCAGAGAGATAGGTGCTCCTGATCACTAATAGCTGCCATGTTTCCCTTCCCAGCCAGCAGTGGCTTCCCCAGCAGGAAAGTGTGAGGCAGCTCCTGTGTGCGGATCCTTCCTGTCAAACCTGCAATGCAGCAGCTCTGGAGATTCAGCAATTGCTGGAAGATAAGACGAACCAGATTTCCTCAACTTTATCAGAGCCACTGCAGGGCTCTTCTTGCTTGCAGGTGACATCCATGTCAACTGTGTCTTCTAAGCAGGATCTGAAACCTCATCCTCAGCACTCCAGAGACCTTTCACTGACGTCGGCAATTGCAGCACTATCACAAGTGGAACAAAACTTAACCCAGGCAGTGGCCCAGACAACTAGCGCCATCAGTGTCCAAGAATACTTTGCTGATCATCTGCATCTAGAGCAGGAATTCCAACTGGCAAAAATGCCAGTGGTCCAAGAGAGTAGGGCTCCTCCAAAGCTAGAGGAACCTGTGGTTCCAGAAAATGAGGAGGAGATGGTACAGAACAAACCTACCCTCACGCAGGGAGACCAAAGCCACCATCACCTGAAGTGCCAGGTGTCCTTACCATCACTGAATCTACAATTCCTGGATAACTTGACACATCCCATGAACTTGCATATAGACACAGTCCTCCCTGCCCACTTGCCATTCTTCAGGCCTAAAGTTTTGAGACTTCTTGAGGTACATGTAAAGAAAAGGAATCATTACCAGAGATGGGGTCTCCCCAGGCGTGTGGAGGACTCCCTGAGATATCTTATGCCAGAACCAATATTGTTTAGCAAAATTGGAAAAAATCTACAACTTTCCTCTATTCTGAATAGTACTTCTAAGGTCACTTGTGACAAAATTGGGATCATTGCCCAACACACCTGGGATTCATACATAGAGCCCATTCAGAGTATCTGGGTTTCTGAGTGGTCTCTTATAAAACCAGAACATAAACACCAGTACCAGCAGGTCCAAAACAATGAGACATTGGCCTTGCCCTCTCCAACTGTTGAAGTCTTAGGTGACCTCTGTTTACCACTTGAAGGACAGGCTAATGACTCAGGGAATGAGCTGCATCAGGAAGACAGGCAGCTGTTCTGTGGCCTCCCCTCTCTCCACAGTGAGTCCCTGGCTGCCACTTTCTTGAGCTGTGAAGGCCTCTCCAAGAGCAAGAACATGTTCAAGCCCCCTTTGAAAGAGTCCCTTCTATTCAAGGGGCTCTGTTTCCACCCTTTGCTGCCTAAAACATCACCTGAGATAAGCTCACTCTTTTCTACACCTTCTCCAAATTGTGTGTCTCCAGCTGAATGTCAACAAGCTCACATCAGTGTCCCATCTCTGACGCCAGCTGAATGTGAAACCCTGGAGTGGCACCTGTTGCAGAGGCAGTTCCAGCCTCAGTGGGGCCTGCCAGCGGTCACCCAGAGGTCTCGCCATGCCCACAGTTCTGTGCGGTCTGAGCCATGTGACAGAGCCCAGGCTCCCGAGCCTGTGAACATGTCCTGGCCAGGGAAACCGGTCTCAGTCCTCACCAGGAAACTGCACTTCTTCCCGGAGCATACCCGCAGGCTGCTGGAGTTTCACTTCCAGAAGCAGCTGATTCACCTCCGCTGGGGCCTGCCTGAGATGATCCAGCAGTCCTTCCAGCTGCTCCTGTCCTCTGCTGACCAGAAGACCCTGTCCCGTAGCAGCCCAACCCTACCCAACATGAGTGCCCCCCAACCTACGGGCAAGGGGGATGGTGACCCATTCTCACCTCTACTGGCCCAAGTGTCCATCCCCATGCCACACTTGTTTTCCCAGGCCAAGGCAAAACTTCAGAGCCACATTGACTCCAAATGTGGGCAGATCCACCAGGGCAATGTCCCTTGCCGTGTGTATAGCTCCTGGGAAGGCACAGTTCCTGGGGTCCTAGCAGTGGCTCCCTTCCCCTGCACTCCACAAGGTCAGCCCCTGGCGCTGCAGGCAGCGAGTGACCCTGACCTCCATGACAAAGTTATGCCCAGGATGCCAACAGCCCTTCATCAGCAAAAACAGGCCTCACCAGACACTGGCACTGAACACCCTAAGCTGCACCAAACCCTGTCTCAAGGAGCCATTGAGAAACTGGAGATGACTTTACGGCACAAGTATCTCGCCTTCCTGTCAGGACTGCCTGCTCTTTACTCTGTAGCTCTCTCTGGAGCTATGGCTCCAGCAATCACTAGCTGCTCTGTAGCCGCAGCGATGGTGCCAGGACCTGTGGAAACCCCAAAGGAGCCTCTGACTCAAAAGATCTCACTGGAAGACCCAAGTGGGAGGCTCGGGCCATGCTCTCAAAATGGCAAGACTTGGGCAGACAGTGCAGAAGATTTCCAGCCTGAGGTGCAGGTGAAAGGAAGAACACAGTCAGTGCCTCTGGAGAGCCAGACACGTCCTGGTGTCCCCTACTCATTCAAAACACGTACCTCTAACAAGCTAAACTTCCACCTGAGAAAAAAGGCCCTGGAGATAAAGTTGGGACTTTCCATAAGGGCAGTGGAGGCCAGGAAACTAACTAAAGCCAGGCCAGAGAACAAGTTCTCCCAGGCATCTCTCAGTAGTCTGAACAACCGTGGAAGCACAGTGCTCCAGCAGCCGCCCATCCTGCCAGACTCTTCTCCTGCCCCAGACTCACAGCAGGCCCACCTTAGAGACCACCTGGCCCCTCAGCCGAAGGCTGTGCAGCACAACCCACAGTCCTCTAGACCCAAATCAGCGTCCCCTGCTTCTACCAACTGGCCCTCCAAGATCTCACAGCCTGTTGGGGACATGACTGAGGCCCAGGTGCTTTGTGTTCAGGTGGAGGCCAGTGTAAACCACCCCAGCCTGGAGGAATCCTGGAGCCCTGAGCCTCAAAACCCAGGCAAGGGCTCAGCCCAGATCCCCATACTGGCCGAAAAGAGGGAGGATGTAGGGAAACCTCAAGTACCAGGAGACCTTGGAGAAGGAGATGCAGGGCTTGGTCTCTCTTTGATCAGTGCAGAAAGACACGCTGATGACGCTGATGATGCTGATGAAGATCAGAAGCCAGAAGAGATGCTTCTGGAGACAGAACCCCAAGGCTCCTCGCAACAGACCCACAGCTGTCATCTTGTGGATCCACAGCAATGCAGTTCCCAGGATCACCCTGAGTGTCAGCTCCCAGAGCCACACACAGAGGTCCCTGGGGGGAAAGAACCTGAGCATGACATGCAGAACCATCAGAGCAAGTTAAATGTCCTCCTCAAACCTGCAAAGATCCCTGAGAACTTCCATCCTGCAGTGGCCCGGATTTCACAGGGCCAGCCAACTCAGCATAAGGGCCAAATTTTGAAAGGTCAGGTTTTTCAGAGGCAGGTGATGCCAGCCCATTCTCCCAAGAGGCCCAGCCTTTCAGAGTCTAGCCTGATAAATAAGATGAAATCATCTCTGCCTTGTATTAGTGCCATGAAAAAAGACAAAGGGCGTATGGACCCCATCTTCCCTACACCTGGGAATATGGCCAAAACCAAAAAAGAAAATGTGGAAAAGAGCCTGGTTCTAGCCAAAAGCCCCATGGAGAAAACTAAGACTAAAACGCAGATGAGGCACCCCAAGAGCCAGTCACTCCCCACAGAGAGGTCAGCGGCCCCGGCCTCACCGGAGGTTTTCCATTCCCCCCACAATAACCTCCGGCTCTACTCTCAACTCTGTGGATCTGCCTCCATCCCAGGCCACCCCCGCCACTGTCCCAGGCATTGTCCTAGAGTGACTGGGTTCCCCCATCAGGGTGCCCACCCACCCAAAGAAAACACCCAGAATATCAACTAAGAGTTTCTGGGGTTCCAAATTCTGTCTCCTTTGAAGAGCTCTACTATTGACTTTTCCATTTAAAAAAAAGGAGGGGCAGAGTGGCACCTGAAATACAGTCCATATCTTTAAATAAAGAGCTACCTGTTTCTTCCTTGTCTCCCCTGTACTTTATTCATAGAAGGCCTAAATGAGGCTAAAATGTTGGTCCTGCCCATAGAAGTTTTAACCCATTCATTCAGATGGGTCAGCGTTTCACAGCTTCAGGTCACCCTGGATTGTAAATAAGGGAACGTGATGAGCAAGTTGAAGTACATTAAAGAGAAAGATAGGGAGTGAATTCCAAGCATTTACCATGCACTGCCACCAAATTCTTTTGCATGTCTCATATTCCTAGGGCCAAGGAGACTGGTCACAAAAGAAAAATTCTGAGATGTCCTAGATTTAATTACATAGCCTGAGGTTGGAGTAAAGAAGAGATAGTAGAAATCAATGTTAACAGCAGCAGACTAAGTAAGGTGATTACTAACGCTGAAACGATGTAAATTTCATCATCACCATGCCCTGCTTACACATAAAATTTGGGAGCCAATCTAGAAGCCCCAATCAATCTAGAAGCAACAAATACTTCTCCTTGTAGACTGCTCTCTTATCCCAAAAAGCTGCCTGCTTCAGGTTATCCCACCTCTCTTCTCTGTAGCCACTTACATTACAGTATTTTCTCTCTCAAAGTTTATTTAAAAAGTGCACTTAGTTCTGGTCCAGCGGCTATTTTCCAACTGTCACCTGCCCTGCTGCTAGAAGCTGTGAAAACTCTTCCCAGGAACTTGTTATTTCTTTTTCTGGCTAGTATGTGTGATGACTTGATAAACCACAATCAGATAAGACCTTCACTAAGGGTTCCTTTGGTCTCTAGAGTTTTGGTGTGATTGTTTCACTTTATAAAGATAAATCAGTATTAATTGCCAGCAGTCTAGACAATGCAGTGCATCAGTGTCTTGAGTACTGTGAAGTTTGGGGCCCTGACACAGGAGGACACTAGTCAGCAGGTGAGGAGGTCTCCAGATAGGTGTCACAATGCTTGGGAAACATCTTGCACTCAACAAATGTTTAGTAGTTACTACACGCCAGGACCATGCCAAACGCAACAATGAACAAGACACAGGTCGGCCTCGATGGGGCTCCTGATTTCATGCAGACATCTTCCCATTTCCAAATTGTGTAATCAACAGATGTATTTAGAAGCTAACATTCATCTCAAGGGATCCAAAAATGAAGAGTTGAACTTGACCTTTCCCTTCTAATTGTCTGTATCCATTAGCAAATGTGTTGTCTCTCCCTTCAAAACTGTACCCACTGGAGGTTCCATTTGACCGAGCTATCTATTCCCCTTCTGGGTATCTTCCCAGAAGAATTAAAAACATTGTACACCAGAGTGATATATGTGCACCCATGTTGAGAGCAGCACAATTTGTAATAGCCAGATCTGGGAAACAACCTAGATGCCCATCAACTGAGAAATGGATAGAGAAAACTTCACCCAGACTATTAGCACTGCCCATTCCTTCACAGCTGTCCCGACTGCAGTGGCCTCGTAAGTAATCTTTGTGTTTCATCCTGTGACCCTCCCCATGACTGTCTGTCCTGACACAGAGACATACTATCCTCAGAGAGAGTCCTGAATGCATGCAACAAACACTGGTAGATGCGGAGATAAAGATATATATATAAACAGATAAAATACTATTCAGCTGAGGTCACCAAGAGAATTGGCTCTAGGGTACTTAGAGAAATTGAGCAACACAGGAGGAAAAACCAAGCAGTGGACACTGAAAACCAATAGCCATCATGAGGTCACAGGAAAAAACCAAAAGAGTTTGGTGTTCTGGGGAAGAAAACTATTTTTAAGGACAAAGGGATTAACTTCATGAGAAGTTATCAACCAGCTAAATGGAGCATTTGATTTGGCCACAAAGATTATTAATGACTTTAAGAAAAACAGCCTCAGGTGTGTGACTTGGATGAAGGCATAACTGGAGTGGATTCAAAAGCCAATGGAAGGAGGTGGGATTAGAGGTAGAGGCAGCAGACAGTGCCAGGGCACGGGTGCACACGCCGGCAGACGGTACAGTGCTGTGGGACGTCTGAAGCAGCGGGAAGGGAGCCAGCAGCTGTAAGTTAGGTGAGCCAGTATTGTGCTCCCACACACAGACACATGAAAAAGAAGTGGGTGGAGCTGTCATCCTAAATCAAAGGGCCCCCGGAGGGCTGAGCAACAGAAGACCACATCCAGAGGCCAAGGTCAGCTCCATGTCCAGCACAAATCTCACTGCAAACTTCGCTGCAGCCCACAGCACATCTCTGGGATCCAACTTGGACACCAGCACAGAGCTGTGAACGCTGGAGAAATTTATGATTATTTTTGTTTGTCTGAGTGGTTATCATTTTTCTGTTAGGGGGTTTTTGTTTTGGTTTGGTTTGGGTTTTGTGGTTATTTTTGTTTTGCTTTTTGTTTTTTTCTCTTTTATTTTTCTTTCTTTTTTTCACTATGTAGATTTCTTACCTTTTTTGTTTTATTCTACTTTGTTCACTCAACCATCTTTCTTTCCTCAGCTATCTCTTCATTTTATGATGTTTTCATATGAATGAACAGTCTCTTCTCTTTCTGGTTCACCTCAGTACTCCTTTGCTTTCTCTTTCATTTGTTTTCTTATGTACTCCAGTTTCCCCAAATGTGGGTGATCAGCCTTTGCCCCCCAGCCTTGCTCCTACAATATTTGACCCCATTCATCTCTCTGTCTTGCCCCCCTCCCTCTTAAATTCCCCCTGCCCGTGGTAGGGTAACATCACTCCACTAAGGGGAAAATCATTGCACACAAGTTCCTGACGTGTGTTGAATTGTGTTATATAACAGTAGAATTTGCTCCTATGGTTAGAGGTTAATCAGGTTAATAGCTATCATAGCATGTCAGTAGTTAGGCTGTACTCAATGCCATCATTATTGCTAACTGCACTACTGTAGTCATGATATCACACATGTGATAATCAGTGTTTCTCCCTGTATGATAACACTGTGATTGTATGGGCCATAACCATCACCAGAGTCCCCATATCAAAGGACCAGGTGCTGAGCCAAATAGCGACTTCTCATCCTTAATAAAGTGGGAAGGTAGGTTCTTGAGACAGACAAAAAGAACAAGAACAACCTACATCTAGAAGACATCTCTGAGGAACAGATATTTCCTAGGGAAGCCTCAATACTGATGATAAACTAGTTACCATAAGAGATAGACAAGCATCAACACAAAAAATAAAATAAAATAATAAATGACACAGAAGCAAAATGCAGCCCCAGAACCCCAGCCAAGCCAGGACTAGTCTAGAGCACAGTGAGACAGAAGACACTGGAAGCCAACCACTGGAACTTTCTGAAGTGACAGCAACACAAGTGAAAAGGGCTATATAAAAATTAATTTATCAGGTACAAAAAGCAATAATGATCAAAATGAAAGACATTAGACACAGATTTTAAAAAATAAGAACTTGGGAAATGGTGGAAACCATGAATGCCCAACACAGGAAAGAAATGGAATCTATGAAAGAGGTCAAAACAGAAATCCAGGAGATCGAAATCTCCATTGAAAGTATGCATAACAGATTCAAGGAAGGTTAGCTAGAAGATATTAGAGCTAGAAGACAGGATTGCAGCTAGCTACAGTGAAAAGAAAGATATCTTTAAAATAGCAAGACTATGAAAAATCAATCCAAAGGCTGCAGGGATGAGGCCAAGAAGAACAGTATGAGATTTCTCAGTGTAGATTTAAAAAAAAAAAAAAAAAAGCTGGAGATAGTGCAAATACCATTAAAAAAAAAAAAAAACTTCACAGAAATGATGGCAGAAAACTTTCCAACCATGGATAAAGAATTTGGCATACAAATAAATGAAGCCCATAGACTCCAAAAGCCATGATCAAAATAAATCTACACCAAGGTATATAATACTCAAAATTATAGAAATTCAGCACAATGACAAAATATTAAAAGCAATTAGAGAAAAGAAACAAATAACCTGTAAAGGAATCATGGCAGACTTCTCAAAATGAACTTTCAAACAAAGGAGAACTTTGAGTGAGATATTTCAAGTCATAAAAGAAAACAATCTCCAACCCATATTCATGTACCCCACAAAACTATTTACACAATAAAACAAGAAACAGAAGAAATGGACAGACTCCTAGATATATGTGAATTGGAAAAACTGAATCAAGAAGATATAAATATTCCAGGGGCTGGGGATTTAACTCAGCAGCATAAGCGCCTGCCTTGCAAGTGTGCAGTCGTGAGTTCAATCCCTGGTACCAATAAAAGTGAAAAAAAGACCAAAAAAAAAGATATAAATATTCTAAATAACCCAATATCAGTCAATGAAGTGAAAACGTAATAAAAACTTAACAACAATAACAACAAAAAGCCCAGGACCTTATAGCCTCATTGTTGAATTCTACCATTTAATGCTACGAAAGCTGAAACTCTTTTAATGAAATTGAGAGAGAAACAATACTTCCAAAATCATATCTGGAAACATGGATTACCCTGATACCAAAACCAGAGAAGGACCCAATCAAAAAAGAAAACTACAGGCCAATCTCCCTAATGAACATAGATATGAAAATCCTCTATAAGATACTGACAAACAGAATGCAGAAAATCATCAGGAAGATTATACACCATAACCACATAGGATTCATTCTAGGGATGTAGGGATGGTTCAACACATGCAAATCAATAAAGGAAATACACCATATTAACAAAACGAAGAACAAAAATCATATGATCATATCAATAGATGCAGTAAAAGCATTTGACAAAGTCCAGCACCCTACAGAAAACTGGAGTAAACTGTCTTTGTCTCAATCTCATAAAAGCCATTTATGACAATCAGTAAACAATATCATACTAAATAGTCAAAAATTGAAGCTTTTAACTCTAAAATCAGGAACAAGGCAAGGAAGTTCACTATC